ACTTCCCACAATCAGTCCAAAACTTCCAAAGCCTTGAAATTACGCGCTGGTAGATCGGGTAAACTGTCATCGCTCCTAATTCACTCTGCAGTCAGGATACACGGTTGATAGCCATTTCTCGTGGCGCAATTTCATTTGGGTAGCACACAAAGTATTAAAACTGATACTGGCCTAGCTGGCTTTCCCAACCCATACAGATTTTCTGGAGGCAAAATCCGTCATTTTCGTTTGCTGACCGTTCACAATTAACCAGGGCATTTTCATCAACGGCCATTTCGGGATTGTACATAAATTATCTCCTTTACGTTCAATGTTATACACAAAACGCACATATGGGAGCCTCTACAAGGATGCGGGGAGCTGATTGCCCTATCAATGGTTCAATTCAAACGTATACAAGTGTCTAATTAACACTTACGTATTTGCTTATAAATTAAAAGGCTTTCGGCAAGGCAAACCGCTGGGGTTGAGAGTTCAGCTGCATTCTTTTTTGTTTGATGTCTAGCCCACTCAACTTCCAATTTCCTATAAAATCCTTATCAGCGTGACAGGTAACGGACATTCTAGACTCGAGGGCCTATCACAATATTGATCAATGATTGCATAGAATAGCAGGGCTAGTAGTTGAAAAGAAGACGACTCGATCGCTGGGACAATACTTTTGTTCGCCTGACGTTTCGACATCCGTGACGGATTCATCATCAGAGACATCAGCAGAAAACGGTAGCAGACCCGTTTTATGCCAGGGTTAGTAGTATTTGTAATAGTAGTGGTAGGAATGGTGAGAAATATTATTTTTGGTAGTAAAAAAACGGATATGGAAATACAAAAGTTTAGTTAGATATGATGACAACCAGGGCATTAGTAAGTGTGCTAAGGACAACAGTGCGAAGACAACATTGGAAAGACACGCCGAGCGGCTCAAAAAAACGGTAGAATTAATGGAATCCTAAGTGGTTTTCGGCTGTCCAATCAATGCACAGGCATGAAATGCTCACATAAAACGTTCATTTATATTCGAACCTACGCACGCACAGGTCGATCAGGGCAGTGGCGGTTGTCGTTCGCATGTACACAGTAACACCCACCCACCCCTAGTAATGAATAACGCGAACAAGGACCAATCAGAGGTCAGCGCTTTTCCTGCCTCAAAGTCTACGGCGCCAGAAGGCAGGTTATTGCTCCCGGACGGCACACAGTTCTTCGGCGTGCTTTCCGGCACGCTTACTCCTGTCTTTCCTTAACAAAATGACCTACAAGCCACGCGCCGAAGCACCTAGAGCTAAAACCTACAAGTTTGACTTAAAGATACACAAAGACTCATGTTATTCTACGCAAAGTGAAAGTACTGATGATTCCGTGTCTGATAATTCGTTGTTTTCTCTTCCCTCCACCTCTGACTCGGTCAACTCGCTGTCGTCGCACGGTGCTCGAAAAAATTCCTCTGCGGCCACCACCCCTCCAGATCCAGCCTCCTGTTTGGATTACCTGAAGCGGCGCGAAGTATTCCTCTACAAGATGATGAATGACCCCAGTCATAAGGCTATGCTGTACTTTCTCGAGGTCTTGATGAACTCAGAGACACCACTGACGGTTGAGCAACTGGCCGCAAGGCTCACCAACAAGTCATTCAGTGCGGAAATGCGCGAGGCTTGTGGTGGTGGCAGTTCAGAGGCACTGAAGAACTTCCTTGAAAAGTATCCATCTCTCTTTACCATCAAACCGTCTGGTCTGGTTAGCGCTGTTGCCATCGACATGCCCGGCTTCGACGAGATGTCAGAGACCAGCATAGATCTTGAAAACTGTCTCAGCCCCTCAACCACCAGTCGGGCCTCAGTTTCGGTCGGTCCAATGCCTTCTGAGTCGCAGCGATCCGCGGAGAAGAAGGGCACCAGTAGCTCAACCCAGGTGGATACCACGGCAGTCTCTTCAACTGTGGATAAGTCCAGCGATTCTGGTGGTATGAGAGAGCACTCGACCCAGTCGGTGTCTACACGTGGAGCTGATGACTGCTCCAACAAGCCTGTACCTAGACCGACCTTCAAGGCGCTTAAGGAGTCCTCTACTGTCACCGCCGC